CAATTCAGACACAGAGGATGAGGACTTCGATGGGTTTGATTGATGATAAAAATGTGAGTACCAAACTTTGTTTTGCTCCTGCTTTATTTTTAAATATGCACACTTGTATGCTTGTGTGTTGTTGATGATGACCATTACTGGTAATAAAAATGTGAGTAAGGTACCGAACTCAGGTTTGCTCCCGCTTTATTTTTAAATACGCATACGGTACTTGTATGCGCCCTATGATCCAGTGCGCCTTATGTGTGTGTTAAATACAGTAATGGCACACATAACTGAGACTGCGCCTTTTAGTACAGTGCGTCTTATGGTCGTGAAAATACGGTAACTGACACGAATGTCTGTAGATTGTGTGAAGAAGCTGGGGCACCCAGGCTAAGGAGAACATGCAAACTCAACACAGAAAGATGGTCAGCAGGATTAAACTTTGTGGCTTATTGCTATATGGCAGCAGCGATAACTGCTGAACCACCATAATCATAAAATCCATATAATAAATGACAAAACTTATTTTATTATTTTAAATCAGCAGTCATTCTTTTAAGATTCGTTTAAGGTAATAACAGATCTGGGTAATGTGCCTTTATTTATTTTGTTGCATTTTTATTCAGGTTTACTTTTTTTACTTTTCTATATTTAACCGAGCTCCTTCCTTGCATATTTTTTTTACTTTATTGAGAGATTTTGCTTTGCCATATTGTATTGAGCTGGTTTCACACTGACACTCTGTAAAAAGTCAGAAAAAGCAAGTTCAGACACAGCAGGAGATGACTTGCGGTGGGTTCTCTCTAGAGAGAACATACTTGGCGAAGGAGCTGCCTGATGAGAGGGTACAGGAAGCAGGACACTCGATGCCAACTCATTAGCTATTATTAACTATTATTACTGCTGCTATTTTTTCTTATCCGAGCAAATCAATAAACTTAAACTTTGCACCACCTACGTTGTGCAATACCTTGAAATGTTCAGGGCTACAGAGTTTTGGGGATGTAAACCTCAATCTAACCTATTAAGAAGTCTAATATAATTACACTGGAACCTATCAATCATCAGTCAGAATATCATCATGTGGCTGGTGACAGAATTAAGAGTTCTGTAATTCCTTTAATGAAAATTAAGTCACCATGCACCGTGTTTGCAGTTGTTAAAAGAGGTCATAGAAGGTGTTACTAACCATTCCCATCATGCCAAAAGGAGCCAGAGGGCCAGCCTAAAAGACAAATATACACCTTAAGATTTTAAAAAAGGCAGTAAACAAAAAGCCAATCTGGACATACAAAACTCATACAAAGTATCTATCAGCACAGAGTCTGTTACCTGTCTGCGTGATGCACGATGTGGCTGCATCTGAGGAGCAAGAGGGAAAGGCTCCATCCCAAATGGTCCAAACAGACTCCTCATCTGCTGCCTGTGAGCTGCAAACGGATCCCTGGAAGAAATCAAAAGCATTTATCAGACTTTTGTGTTCGATTTCACATGTATGAATCAACTGAGTGTAGCTGTGTGAACTGTACTCACATAGGTGAAGGTAAACTGAAAACGACACAAGGAGGAAAACTGTAAACTTTCAAGCACAAGGCAAATACTCCAGCAAAGTGTTTCAAGTTCCACTGGGTTTGTGAGCCCAGTTTAGCCAACCATTATTTTGCTTTATTATTTTCTTCAGTTTGGGGGTTTAATACAAGAAAAGCCAGTAATATAAGAAAATCTATTATAGTGTATTTTGTATACATATAAAAAAATTAATAAATTCACGCAGCGAACTCTTCTCTCATGCACCCTGCTTTATTAACCAGGCTATCAGCCACCTTTGTTTTCATTATTTTCATAATCTGAATATTGTTTCAACAAGCAAGTCAATCAACTGACACATCGTTTTGTAGCTAAAGTGATTTTCCAACCAGTGACCAGTGAATATCAATGAAATTTTGCTACTGTTTTTTCTTTTTCTTTCATTATTTTTTAAAAATTAAACTTAATTCTTCGAGCAACAACTTTGGCAGCATAAAGTGGGAAGACACAAACTTTTCTCAACTTTCAGGTGAGCGATTTGAGAGACTTCCAATGAGAGCACAGGATATCAATGATTGATATTATCGCAGGTTAGTAAATACTTTAGTGGGTTACCTCGACAACCAGAACCTGGAATACCCACTAGCAACCAGCTTTAAAGTGAGGACACACCTTGATGTTTGGTTGTTAACGAATAGTTGTCGAAAATTAGTCCCCACTTCATGTTGTCCGTTCTTGCTTTAAGCCCCTCAATTTAGTTATTTTTCTATGACTCTGGCTGCATTGTTGCTGAAAATTGGTGTCTGTCTGGTTGCTCCTTTAAAGTGTGTTTGCCAATTTAAAATGTAATAGACCAAATGATTAAAAAAAAGAAGAAAAAAGATATTAAAGGACAAAAACAACTGCCAACGAATTAGTTTAATAACCAGCCAGTAAGCCTGGAGGCACACCAAACATGGACTTGTATAACATCAAGACCCAAATCAAATACTGAAATTTGCATTTTGTGCATCTGTGTCGTTAGATTGTGCTGTGGTTTTAACAGAAAGCTGATGTTTATCTGTTAAATGGAAAATAAGTGTGATGAAGAGCTGAGATGCAATCATTGCATCTTTATTAATAAAAGGCCTATTGGAAATGAGTCAACACAAAGTTTATTTCCACCTACAAAAGGTGTTTTTGTTTTTTGTTTTTAATTTCCATTATAAAAATGCTTTTACACTGCATTTATTAAAAGAGCAAAATATTATGCATTTTCCATTTCCATCCATTTGCCTGAGGGGAAAATGCACTAATGTAAAGAATGCAAGACTGGCAAGACAGTAGGTCTTGAGAATGATATGAATGCAAAGAGAATATGCATACACATTTATTCAAAATGAGTTCTCGGCTATAATTAGAGCACCATCTGGAAAATCTAGAATTATGTACTATTTGGGTTAGACTATACTGATACTTTTGTTTTTGTGGTACACCTTCATTTTGATAAAACCTGTATGAAAAGTTAGATGAAAAAAAATAGCTATTTTTCATTTGCAAATAATATTTTGATTTATTTTGCATTATTGTAAAGTACAAATATATGCCATTCAGAAATTTTCACTAGTAGTCTTTTGCATTGTGATGTTTTTTTTAAGTTTTTTTATGTGTGTTTAAATATCAGAATAAAATCGCGGTTATATTCCATAATTGATCAAGCAGTGCGCCTTTTCTAAAAATAAATAGTTTGTTTGTGAGAGATTAGCCGAAGTAGAAGATTTACTTGCACCTGTTATTTCGATTTTTTTGTCTGAAATAAAAAACCAAAAATGCATATATGCTGTATTTACTGAGGGCTGCGAGATTACGGATTTTTTTCATCCATTTGCCAGCGGGAAATGCGCTAATGTAAACCTGCCAGACTACAAAAGTAAGCACTTTTAAACCTAAAAAACAAGCGATTTAAAGAAACAGTGGAAATCCAATGAGAGCAATTGACTGCTAAATGTAGTGACCGGCTGGTTATAACTAAATACTGTTGAACGCTAACACCTTTTTGTTATTGTCTATCCAATATGGTGGACCAGTGTAGGCCCCCACAGCTGGCAGGAGTAACGGAGGGTACCTGCTACAAGGGACAGTGGAAATTTTTTAAACTTAGCAATCCGCAATATAGCTACCAATCACTTATAGAACACAAAGACACCAGTGTCAAAAGAAAAAAAGTGTGAAATGTCAGTACTTACATCATATAGGGATCTTCATCAACGTCACTCAAGAACCGAAACATGCTAGGTGATTTCTCAGCTGGCTGATTCGAGCCAGCTAGCAAGGTAAACAGTTTTTAAAGGCTGATAGAAAATGAACTCAAACTCGATTTAAGCTGAAGTGGGGGATCTTTTACCAGCTCCCTCTCGAAAACCACGCACAATTACTACTGCTTAACAAGGAGGCAGAAATCGTAGCGTCTCAATAAACAGCGATTTCCAGAAACCTGGAGAAAACACAAAAACGGAAGTCAGTCCTCTGACAAAGGGAAGCAACGCTGCTATCAAGTTAGCATCAAAGCTAACAAAGCTAACTTCCGGTTAGCATATTTTCACAATAACACATTTCCGGAGAGGCTTCTAGGACAATTTTTGGCACTTTTTCTGCAGATTAGGGGTGTTTACAGGTAACTGATACACATGCATTTAAATATATTATTATTTTATTTTAGTTTTATACTTTATTTTTGTTGTTTTATATTTTATTGAGCTGTACCATAGTACTTACTTAGACTACTTGTTATACGTTTGTTGTGTTTAACTTACAATTTAAAGGAATTTTCCAACTCTGGGATAAATAAAGTCTTATCTTATCTTTTTAGCTTTCCAGTCTTTCTGAAGTTTTTCTTTAAACATCGGTTTCCTACTAATTCACAGTCGATTTCTTGTACCTAAACATTTATCAACTAACTCAAGGAAGGAACAACACACAACTTAGCAAAGAACCATTTTAAAATTGTATGTTTAGGTACTTTGTTACTAGCCCCATGTTAGAAAAACATATTGTTGGGGAAACACAATGGCAACATTCAACAATTAGACTTAACACATATGGTTTGCTCGCATTTCTTTAGCTGAATCTACAATCAATCTATCAGTCTTTACTGACAGACTTTATGTCCTTAGTTAAAACTTAATAGATCTTAATAGGAAGAGAAACAAAGATCCAAAACAAAAGGCAGTCAACATCTGAAGAAGAGCTTCGACTGACCTTCAAAAAGCCTGAAGAGCTATTTCTGAAGACTATTTAAAGATCTTACAAGAAAGCTTCAATAGACAGTTCAGGCTTTGTTGGATAATAAAGATGGTCAAACAAAATATTCACTGTCAAGCTCATGTGATTTGTATAAACACTGTTTATGCCTTATGTGCTGTTTTGCCATGTGAAAAAAAAACAGAAATGTGTTGCAGTTTGGGCAGCAGGCGACGCTCTTTCTTTTGTATCGATTCTACAATCGGGACTGGGTCCCGGTTTGCTATGCGCCTGCGCACAAAGTAATTCGACCCTCAAACCCGGATGTAACCAACGCCTAACCTGTGGGAAGAAAAACGGTGAGTAGAGTTACAAAAACTGCTTAAAACTACTATTTGTGGCTAATTAGAGTAGGCGACACATGCAGGAGAGGCCCTCTAACAATGTTCAGTCTAACAGAAATGAAACATTTGTTTCTAGATGTTTTAAATCTGCGGGGTGGTTAAAGTTTTCTACCGATCAGGGTTAATTCAGAGCGGACAAACATTTCTTTAATGAAGCTGTCATGATTGTTTGTCAGCTTTGGTAGTGTGATTACTTTCATTTTGATCGATTTAGATCCCGCTGTACATTGTAATTAAATAAGAAATCTACCAGTGACAGTATTTTCACGCTGCCTGTCCACTGTTCACAAATCTGATTTAATTTATTCAGTCAGACTCAGTCTTAAATGATTATTTTTTATATGTTGGCTAAAACATCTCATTTGCAGGTGTTGAACTTTCAGATAACAGATTAACAGATGGAGCTCTTATTTAGCGGAAGTGTTTGCAGTATCTGTTTCTAAATGTCATTTTGCTAATAGGCGGCATTTTCCTTTAACATCCTCGCTGTGCAGCTTATGCGGAAGTTATTCACTGTCATTAATTTTTCGCTTGCACATGTAATAACAAGCCAAATAGGAATACCTCCAAACGGTATGCACGCTGCTTGAACTCACACCTATCTATATACAGCCGTATCCTTCATGTTTTTGTTTCATTTAGACTAATTTTGCATTAATTTTTATTTCAAAGTAGTTTTTAACTTTGCAAAATCGTTTTCCATTTGTTTATTCTACTTATTTATTTGGGCTGTTTTGATTGTGCCAAACAATTTTCTCAGTTTTGGGGATAAATAGTTTATCTTGTCTCATCTGATCAGAGACTATTTGATGGAATACATTTTTTTTTGTATTTTTTTTTAGCATTGTTCATCATGCTGCAAATGTTTCTTTTTGTTCTTACAAGTAAGACTAGGGCCCAACTGATATAGGATTTTAAAGATCGACACTGATATTTGGCAATTTTAGAATCCAATATATCAACCAAATTTGACCAACATTTCTTATGTGTAGTTATTTAGTTTAGTTACATGCGTAGAGTTCTTATTAACATAATAGAAGTGCAATTTAAAAAAAGAGGGAAGTTGGAGAGGGCCCGATGGTGGACAAACTGTGCGTCAACACTGATAAAACCACTGAACAATGTTTTCGCTGTCTCTTCTTTACTGTTTTTTCTTTTATTGTGGAAGATGCAACAGGATGTGGAGTGTGGTAACAAAGCACTGACAGAAACAAGAAAGAAAACAATTGTAAAAGAGAAACAATCCATCCATATTTGTACACATGTTGTGTGGTTATGTGCATTATGTGGATAGGTGAAGCTCTATTCAGTCTCATTTATCAGCTGTTATAAATGCCAGTAATGACAGATGTGGACCAATAGATGAGTGGCGTATATCACTGATAAAGCTGTCATGCTCTAACTAATGCTCTCTCTGTATGCTTTTATGCCTAATAACTTAATTGGTTTGTTCTTCGAATAAAAGTCGTATTACTAGAGGTCTAAGTCACATAAAAACGCCTTGGTATAATTCATCAGCACCACAAAAGTTTAATTCATTTGTCTCAAACTGATTCGACTTTTACTGAATATTATATTTGTCATGAAGGGTGGATCGGGTTGCAGTCGTTTTAGGTGCTGCACATTAAAGTAGCAACAGAAATGTTTAGTAAATTTGACTTTTAAATAAGTGGGATGAATTTAATAGTTAACATGTACTGTAGGAAGGTGTGGCACCAAGAAATCTGAGCAGGCACTGTTTAAATATGCAAATAGTTTATTTGACCTAAAAAAAATAAGTTAATACTAAGTATTACCTTCACATGGGATTCAAACTTTGTTCCCTTTGATGTGAACGTTTTATGTTTAATCCATTGCAACACTACAGCTTAGTACCTGTGTGGACTTTTTCACCCTTTATGCTACTTTATATGACTCACCCCAGCCTGTCCAAATAGACCTATGATTGGATTTTCAAAAGCCTGAACACAAAGCCCAGCATCGGCGTAAGGGTCTAGTTCTGGCTCAGGCCATTTGAATTAAGATGCTGAAATTCTATAATGGATACTTTTTTGTCCACTAGTCCTAAAAAGACATACCCTGCCCCAACTGTAATGTTATCGCTTATCTTAGGACAAAATATGTTAGCAGTGTGAGCTTAATGGATCAAAACTATGAAAATGGCCATTGAAATGCTGCTGTTGCAATATGTAATGTGTAAGCATTTTACTATCAGAGTTACAGAGGTTGAGCTATTTAAAACTTTCAGTTTTTATTTGGTAAAGTAATACTTTAACACTTAATACATAATACTTAATACTTTATTTTCGAGTATTTGCATGTTTGATGTCTAAAATCCTGTGATGCTGCATACGAATAATTACTTCATATATAAAGTTATGTAATCTTTATATGCAGTCCATTCCCACATCTACACTATAAATCATTGCATGTTACAAGATTAGAGACAAATTCATGAATGATCAGACATGCCTTTCGTCTCAGAAAGGCATGTCAGGCGTTTGCTGGTTTCAGTTTTGCACCCCCACCCAAGGTGGAGGAAGGGTTTGTGATTGCTGCATTCTGCTTTTCTGTCAGACAGCAAGAGGGTGCAAATTCCACCAGGCCAAATTCCAGGAAAATATTGACAGAAAAACATAAAGGTTTAATCGTTTTCTTTAAAAATGCAAAGTAGGCCATTGGCCTCCGCTGAGGATGCAGTCTGTAAGTTTATAATTGTTTGACCTTTCATATTGTACTGACCAATAATTGATTAATCTTCAAAATAATGTGCAGATTATTCAGTAGTGAATATAAATATTAATTCCAGGCTTAGATGTGCTGGTTAGATGCATCACATGTCTCTGTGAGTCTGTCACAGTTAGTGCTTGTGTGTTTGTTTCCATGTTGTTTCACTGCCTGTATGTGAACCCATGCATGATTCTAGAGACAGTACTAAGAGTGCTTGTGTATTACTTCCTCTCTAAGAGTCTAGCTAGCTGTCTGGTGTGCTGTTTCTGGCAAACATCTTGTCATGTTTCCTACTTTCTGTTTTTCTTTGTAGATGCAGACGATAAAATGTGTAGTAGTAGGAGATGGGGCTGTAGGAAAGACGTGCTTACTGATCTCCTATACAACCAACAAGTTCCCCTCAGAATATGTGCCTACGGTAGGAGGAGGAATTAAGAAAGACTGAGCCATATTGTTGTAAACATGCTCACCTATAAAATTTCTGTTTTCTTATATTATTCATGGTTATAATGCTGCACTACCATTAACTGCCCTTTTTTGCTTACTTCTTTTTTGTGTTTTCAAAGGTTTTTGACAATTATGCCGTGACAGTGATGATCGGCGGAGAGCCGTATACGCTCGGTCTTTTTGACACAGCTGGTAAGCTGGTCTTCGAAAGTCTCTCAGTTTCACTTTTTCTCTCTCATTTCTGTCAGTCTAAAACCTTTGGAAAAAAAAATGTCCTTGTTCTGCTTCTCTTTTGATTGCTGCTCTCAGGTCAGGAAGATTATGACAGGCTGCGTCCTCTCAGTTACCCACAGACAGATGTGTTCCTTGTATGTTTCTCTGTTGTCTCACCCTCGTCGTATGAAAATGTCAAAGAGAAGGTCAGTTTTGAAATCTCTTTTCACTGTTTTGGGAACAGAGATGTTGACTATTTTTTGTTAAATGTGTTGGCAGACTTACACTGGTCACTTTGTTTTATTCATAATCTATAATCAGCCAATCATGTTGCAACTTAGTACCTTTAGGCATTTAGACATGGTCAAGATAACTGGCTGAAGTTGAAACTGAGCATCAGACTTGGGGGGGGAAAAAGGTTAAGGATTTAAATGGCTTCAAACATGGTCTGAGCATTTCAGAAACTGACGATCTACTGAGATTTTCCACACACAACCATCTATAGAGTTTATAGAGAATGGACTGAAAAAGAGAAAATATTCAGTTGGCAGCAGTTCTCTGGGGGGAAATGCCGTGTTGATGCGAGAGGTCACAGGAGAATGACCACACTGACAGGAAGGCAACGGGAATGCAAATAACCTCTTGTTGCAACAAAGGTATACAGAAGAGCATCTCTGAATGCACAACATGTTGAACCTTGAAGCAGATAGGCTGCAGCAGCAGCAGCAGAAAACCACACCGGGTGCTACCCCTGTCAGCTAAGAACAGGAAACCGAGGTTACAGATTGCATCTGCTCACCAAAATTGGACAACAGAAGGTTGGAAAAACGTCGCCTGGTTGGACGAGTTTCAATTTCTGCAACAATATTCAGATGGTAGGGTCAGAATTTGGCATAAACAGCATGGAAACATGGATCCATCCTGCCTTGTATCAGTCGTTCAGGCTGTTGGTGTAACAGAGTGAGGCACATTTTGGGGCCTTTAGTACCAACTAACCAAGCATCGTTAAACACCACAGTCTCCATCCCTTTATATAAGCAGTGTCCCCATCTTCTGATGGCTGCTCCACCAGGATAACGTGCCGTGTCACAAAGCTGTAATCATCTCAAACTGGTTTCTTGAACACTAGAGTGAGTAGACTGTACTTAAATGGGCTCCACAGTCACTAGGTCTCAAATAGAGCACCTATGGGATGAGGTGGAATGGGAGATTCACATCATGGATGTGCAGCCATTAAAACTGCAGCAACTCTGTGATGCTGTTATATCAATATGAACTAAAATCTCTGAGGAATGTTTGATGCATGTGGAGTTGAGGCAGTTCCAAATGCAAAAGGGGGTCCAACCAGGTACTCGCAAGGGGAATCTGATAAAGTGGCCAGTAAGCGTATAGATCTAAAAATAATGATTATTTTTAAAGATCTCCTGTTCATTTTCTCTAGCTAGCCTAATGCTTATATTTAAATAATTTTGTATGTAATAGAGTGAAGAAAGTGCTGTAGTTTTCTAAATTTGACACACGTTCAAGAGCCACTTGCTCAAAATAGTGAAGTTTTCACTGTGTTCTTATGATCATCCTGATGTGGAGGTGTGAGTCGCGATGTCCTTTCTGCTTGGACTGCTTGGAATTTTAATAATTGTTTTAATTGTCGTCCTTATTCTCAATAAATGTCACATGGAAGAAAAAGCCTCCTGCTTCCTCAGTTTCTCTACAATCTCACCGTTTTACATGCCAGACATTTTATTACACATTATTTTCTATGAAATGAAAAATATGAATCAGAAACTATTTGGATTAAAGGAAAAGCATACCAGCTTTTGATAGTCGCAAATTTCATTGGGTATCTAAGATAAACTTTGTCTTTTTGTCTGTATCCAGTGGGTCCCTGAGATTTCACACCACTGCCCAAGCACCCCTTTCCTGTTAGTGGGGACACAGGTAGACTTGCGGGAAGACAGCAACACGGTGGAGAAGCTGGCAAAGAACAAACAGCGCCCTTTATTATCCGAGAGCGGCGAGAAGCTGTCTCGTGAGCTCAAGGCTGTTAAGTACGTGGAGTGCTCTGCCCTCACACAGGTATGTAAAATCTCACTACACTTTTAAAACGTATTTTAAAAAGTGACAGATTTGTTTGAAATAGAAAGTTATGCTTCCTTCTGTTATGCTTCCGTCATCTTTTCCTCTTCTTCTTCTTTAACCAGCGAGGACTTAAAAACGTGTTTGACGAGGCCATACTGGCAGCTTTGGAGCCCCCCGAGACCAAAACAAAGAAGAGGTGTGCTCTGCTATAGAACAGTGCTGACCGCGAGATGCAAAACGGTGCATATAGAAAAAATAGGTGGGATGATTGAAAACATCATAAAGATTAGTGGCCATTTTGACAAAAAAAAAATCCCCAAAAAACAAAGGACAAAACCAAAGGGGAAGGGACGGTACCGTGGCATCGAAATGTATTTCGGTACACACGTACACTGATTGTGCCTTCAAAATAAAAGCTGAAACAGGCTGAGGATTCAAAGTATCAGATGTGCAGTGAATGCAGTTTAAGCACCAACTGTGTCCTTCTCTGAAACCTTTAGAAATCGCAGTGTTCTCTCTATAAATATTCAGGTGGGGCAGGCCCCCCCTTGCCTGTCACTGTTTTTTTTTTTCCCCCCAAAGAAATGTTCATTTATAAACTTGACATTGGCCTCTTCCTGTGTTTTACTTACTGTGGCCTACTGGGTCCTTTAAACTCAGTATAGGGAAGTATAAAAGGGGAAATACTTCAGTTACATTTAACATTAGTACGTTTAAGGGGGCAACTTGATGTTAAGTGGTACTCTACTTGCTTTCTTTTCCGACCTTCCTCAGTTGAATAATGTCAAAAAACTAAACATTTGCTGTCACTCCAAACAAAAGCAGTTGTCTGTAACGGTTACTTTCTTCTAACTAGTGGTGACTTGCAGGGATGAAAAGTGTTTTCACCAAGTTCCCTTATCCAGGTTACTTATGAGTTTCTGTTTTCTTTTTTGTGTATATTGTAATTTCACAATGCTGTTTTGGGAAAATGTTAGTATTTTTTAATTATTTTTTTCCCATTTTGAAACTTGAGTTGTTGTTTTTCGTTTTGTTTTTTTAATTGCAAGACCTCCAACATTTGAGCGAATGATGAGAAGATTCAAGTTGTAATATTTTTAATGGCTCTTGAGAAGATGAACTTTTTCTAGTCAATTTCTGGGTGTTTGTAATCACAGGATATTTTTAATAAAATGGTTGAGCTCAAATGAAATGTAATCGTTGTTTTGTGTGTTTGAAGGCAAAAGACTGAATTCGAAAGTATTACAGAGTTTAAGGGCGTGATCACACAAGTCACACTTGCCTCTGCACTTGCACTGTGTTAATGATCTGGGCCTGAGTATGCTTCTCTCACATGCTCCCACTGTCACAAACACTTGCTCTACCAGAGCACAATGAGCTTCGTAATTTTATGCATTTTGTTGTTTATTTTTAGATCTTCTTAAAAGCTGCAGCATGATCAGTTGAGGAAGCGTAAGGTATCCAGTGAAGTGGGGAAAAAAAATCCCTCCAAACCTACCTGGTCTTATTTGAAAAAACTGCCCCCTAAACCTAGTAACTGGTTGTGTCACCCTCGGCAGCTAGAATTGCAATCAAGCGTTTTTGATATATGGCAATCAGTCTTTCACATTGATGAGGAGGAATATTGTCCCAATCTTCACAGCAGAATTGTTTGAATTCAGCCACATTGGAGGATTTTCGAGTATGAACGGCCTGTTTCAGGTCGAAATGACAAAGCATCTTAAATGGATTTGGAGGACTTGAGCCATGCAGCCAATCCAGATAAGGATTAAAGGATTGTTAACATGACGCCAGGTAGGTGGTGATTTCTCTGACTGCAAAAAGAAGTTCAGTTGTTTACAAGTCAATAGGAAAACAGCGCCCTTGATCTATGACGTCAATAACCACTTTCCTGATGAGTTTATGAGCTCGGTCGCTGGTTTCAAGTCTTACAGAAAACAACATGATGCTTATTGTGTAAATTATGGCTCCTATTAGATTAAAAACATGATTAAGCTGCGCATGTTTTAGGGCGAGGCTTTGTGATTGAAAAGTTGCTTTAAGTGGGCAGGGTTTGAGAGTCACATGATGTAAGAGGACTCCACAAATCAATGAGTGAGATCTCTTTTTTTATATAAAGTCTACTAGCAATGACAGTCTGACAGTTACTGAGTTTCACTGTAGGTTTTAAATAATAAATCAATCAATGGTATAGTCATGCAAAACTAAACATGTACAGGGACCTGCAACTACAACTTCTGTTCCAAACAGTCTCACAGGGTACCATTCAATAAAGAAGCACTTTGGTATTTTTTTTTTTTAATAAACTACTCTATTTATTAGAAACTCAAAAAGACCTAAACGCACTCATTGTGCAGGAAACAGAACAGTTTCATACAAGGACGAGGGACAAAAACACAAGACATGGAAGTAAGTGCAGCAAAGACTCTGATATACAAATAAATAAACCAGAATCAAAAAGAAGACATAAATACAGTACAAGTCCAAAGACGTGCTAGCCTATAACAGAATACAAGATAAAAGAAATCTTCAGTGTTTGAGAGTTAGTTTGGGTTAAGCTCTGCTTTAAAAGCTTTGTCAGTTCAGCGTGTGATTAACTGCTGTGTTTGTGTGTGTTCATGGCTACACCTGTATGCATGTCTGTGCCTGTCAGTTTGTCTGTCTTAATATTTTGAGCAGTTTAAAAGCTGAGCAGACTTTTTTTTTTTTGTACTTCCCGATGGAGCTTTGTCTTTACATTAGTTCTAATTTTGCAGTTTTTACAAGAAAACAATCAAACCAAACTGCAGTTTCACTTCTCTAAGGGAAAACGTGGACAAAGAAAGGCTGCTTTGGACAATAATTACGATAATTTGGTGTCAAAGTTAACCCGCGCTGTGTCCAGCGGTGTCTGTCTGGTGGTTGGTTAGGATCTGGGCTCATTTGGTCAGGCCTTGTTAGGACTTCTTACACTCTACAGGTATGAATGGTGACCGTATTCTTGCACTGCTGGCAACGCACCGAGCAGCACCAGGAAAACTTGCAGGAGCAGCGCTGCACCACCTCAGCCCGGCCTGCTTTGTAGCCTGGCCCGCAACACACCAGCTCGCAACCATCTGGTGCCAGCCGAGACGTTCCTGGGGGGAGGGGGGTTGGTTTAAAACATTGCAACATCACTTTCTAAATTGATATGAGTGGTAAGTTGGATTATGTGAATTATTTTCCTGTGACGTGGTCCTGGTGATCTTACCGTTACATCTTCTACCTGCAGTCCCAGGAATACCATTTTCAGGGTCGAGACGGCAGAAATCTGGGGAGGGTGCAAGATACACAAGATCTCTGGCAGCAGGGGGTTTGACCTGTGAGTCTCGGGGGAGCAAGGCTGTCCTGGAGCCTATACGTGTCAGGCGGACCTGGGAGGATTGTGACATTAAAACACAGTAATGTATACTGTAATAATACTGACTACTAAACACGGTCAACGTTTTTAAAATATGTGGTCAGCTTATGCAGAAGTGATCCAAAAGCTCACAGCTTATTTTAGACTGTTTTCCTTCTCTTGGCTACTTCTGATGTCAAAGATAATATCCTTAACCCTTTAAAGCCTGAACCATGAAATAATTGCCAGGAAATTCAATTTTTCTGAAAATGGAGTGCTTATTGAACATTCTGACAATTTTTAAAAAATTAATCATATTTGATACATTGGCATTATTTTTTTTTTTTGCAATTTACTACATAAAAATGTATTGGGCCCGAATTATTTAGTTTCCGTGGGGACAAAAATCACACTGATGATCGATAGATCTCTAAAACTCAAGAATTTGAGGCACTTGGTGTTACAAGGTTAATATGGTAATCCCGAGCACACAGCTCTGGCTTTCAGGAAAGTAGCTCCAAAACTTGATGTTTAAACCTTCTGTTTGCAAGGAGCAGCCAATCAGAAAAAAACTGATTTAAGAGGAGGGAAGTTAAATTGCTTTTAACCCCCATATTTCATGAGATGATGAGCTGAGGGCTTGCAACAATCAACAAGATAAATAAAGATTTATTTTGAGATGTGAATCATATAAAACTACTGTAGCAAGGTCCAAAAATACAAACATGGAGCTGAAAAAGCATAACATGTTCATTTCGAGATGTTTCAGCGGAAATTGTAGTTTTTTTCTGATAAATAATTTACTTCAGCTGTTGTGACGTCTGCTCACCCCATTAAGCTAGGGAAGATAAAACAAGCAGAAGGTATCATCTGTTACCTCTGTGGCTCCATCAAAACGTTCCTTGAGCACAACGCCCACACGCCTGAATGGGGGCATGACCTTCCAGCAGGTCCTCAGCTCACAGGACCCAGACACACCGTGACATTTACACTCAACCTGCATGTTATGAAGGATGGCCTGAGGAGGAGATAATTATAAAGGACAAAAAAATTCTGTAAATTGACACAGGGATTTGGAAATCTGTAAGGACATTGGTGATGTTGCTAACCTTTCGACCCGCCTCGTTGTTGTGGAGGTTCATGAGCGGCCGGCCTGCTGACAGCCCCTTGGCTCGCTCTGGTTCATCCACAAATGTCTGAGAGAAAGCCACACCATAGGACAGGTTGTCACTGCACCCTGACCACTGGAAACCTGTGGTGGAACGAGGCTTAGATTAAGATGATCTGTGTTACTGCGATTTTGTAAGGTCAAAGAAGGTTAGATGTTAAATGGAAAATCCCTTCTGGTTCATGTGAGGCAGGGGGCAGCTGCTACAGTCTCACAGCACAGGTGTGTTACATGTGACAGCAGATGGGAAACTACCAGCTGACATTACTGCTGCATACTTTAGACCCACAATCAGCACTGTAGCAGCCTTTCTATGCTCTGTGTGAGTCAGAGTCGATTTACTCACTATATTTTCATGGAATAGAGTTAAAGCTCACCCTCCGGGCTGACCCCCCTGACCTTCCTGTCACAGCCACACCTCTCCAGCTCCCCACGGGTGCAGGCTCGGGTCACCGCAACCGCCACAGCTGCTGAGGACAGAGCGTGCACAAAGGCTGCCTCACGAGTGCCTGAAACCACAGCAGAGACATGACACAACTTTATTTTTAGAGAATATTTATAAATGTTGCTCAGTGAATCGAGGTTTCTTCAGAAAATTCACTAACTTCATGCCAGTAATGGGTCTACCTTGGTTCATCACTCTGCCAAATACATTGATCCCACGTGGGGTGATGGAACAATTCCAGCGGCGATTCCTGAACTGGTGCTGGCACTGAATTGGACAGCGAGTTACACACCAGGTATGTAAAAGTTTCCATCTCTGCCACACATAATGGTGATTGTTATTTAAATCACTCAGAAGTTATGCTTCATACCTCTTCTATGACCATCTCTGCTGCCTTGCGTACAGACTCCATGACCTCCCCCCGTGCTCTGCACACCCCCACCTGGCCTGGGGTCAGCCCCCTCAGCCGTGCACATGGGGCAGCACCAGACACAGGCCGGGAACGGGGCAGCCTCGCCAGGGAGCTGGGACATAAAAATGGAAGGTGGAGGAGTGATTCACAGTAAGTACGTGGGGGAAGATGCATATTTAAGTACAAGGCTGGGGCCTTTAAAAGAGTGACAGAAAGATGAAAAGGTAACAAATAGAGAGGATGAAAACAAGGAGACAAACAGGCAAAGAAGACACGGAGGGCACAGTGAAGGCAGGGAGAGAGAGAAAAGAGAAAAGGTCACCAGGAGCGAGACAAAGAAAAGAGGGGAGCGACTGAAAGAGATTTAGTGACATGTCACCACCTTTTAAAAGTTATAGCATGACAAACAAACTCCCTCTTTCTCATCCTCCTTCACACACTAGACTTACAGCCAATTGGTTGCCATGGTGGGGTGGGTTGCCCATAGCAACAGGAGGAGGAGTGGTGCCGTGAGATTGACAGTGGAGACAGTTGGCATCAGACTGTCTGTCTGTCTGTCCGTCTCCGTGCGTCAGGCTGGGTCTTTGGGTCCACAGCTGAAGTGATCGCTCCGTCCGTCTGTGTGTTTGTTGCCGTTTAAGTTTAAAGTCCAGAGTCTGGGGATGATCCCCACATATCTGTTGAAATCACAAGTTAGCAGGTTAACGATGAATGCAGAGATGCTCTGCATGGTATTTTGGTCAAGTAAACAATAAATTCCTTATTAGTTTTCTAATGATAAGGTTTATGCAAGTTACTGGTGTTCGAAGTTAAGTCTGTATATGCAGTTTATCATATCATGTAGCAAATAAAACCACAAAATTACTGCGTTATACTCGTGAAATTTCCTTCAGGTTGCAAGAGTTTTAAAATTGATTCTTACCAGTTGATATTTTTGTGATAGCCAGTTATTCTTCTTTTTGTTACTGAGTGGACAGAATTTCAAAATGAATCACAATTTTATTCACCAAAGCTGCTCTTCAGCTTCTCTCTATTGTTGCCAAAAAAAGCATACTTACATGACTGTTTCACAAACTCATCCTTGATGCACAAAAAGACGTCCATATGTCCGATTTCAGTCCCAGATTAACTGAATTCACCCCCAAAAACAAAAACCTAAAATCCAGAAACACTAATAAAAGTCACTTTTTTATTAGTCAGGAAAACAGTAGCACGGTGTCATCTTATGGTTAGTTCTTTCCCGGGAAAACAAATGTGTCCATTGCGAGTTGAAAAAGCAAGAATGAGTGAGAGCAGTGAGCTGGGAGTGATGGGTTATAAAGGAGGTAGAGAGTGAGGCTGGGAGAGAGAGGACATCCAGGCTGTGGAGTGATGCTGAGGGAGGAGGAGGAGGGTTTGGAAAAGGGTCATTGTTTTACTACGCAAGCATTACAAGCGTAAGTATGCCCTCTATTGTGTTAATCTGGCATGAAAACTAAAGTCTGAGCCTGGGCTGGTACCTGGCCTGAAATCACAAATGTGGTTGTGTGCATACATGCCTGAACACATGTATGAACATATATATATGATTTATATCAGAGAAACTTATGAGAACTCCAACTCCAACCTGTTTGTTTCAATAAACTTTTCTGCAAAATCCTCTTGTCAGTGACTGAAACGCAGCACTTCCAGTTCCACATATATGTACACGCATGTGAGAAAGTGTCTTACCTAATGTGTAATTTTCCCAAACTTTGTTGCTCATTTTACGAGTCCAGCTCTCCCCCCCTACTTTTCCTCTATGTCCCCCACATTTGCCCTCTCGTTCTCCTTCTCTCTCACTCCCTATATTGTCTTAGAAGAAGAGGTGACATTTAGACAAGGGGAAGAAAACAGACTGCCGACAAATATTGGAACTAAGGCAAATAAATCACAAGAAGGGAGGGCACGAGGACAGAGCGGATCAGTGTCACACGGGGGATTGGGAAAAGCAATAAAGAATAATAAACCAGGTTGGTGGTATATGAACTGAAGACCAAATTCTCAATCAAATTATCCACGTGAACATAGATTTTCTGGAGAATTTGAAATACCCTAAAAATTTTTTATTGATTACTGCATGTTGGCTGTTTAGCACAGAAAAACAAGCGCATGAAATAAACTGTACAGCATTTTTTTTAAAGAATATTTATCGCTGCATATATTTTCATTTTTTATTTTGTAGTATTCCCTCCCTTTCTCTCCTTCAAACCAGTCATAGCAATACTGGAAGAAATCCAGATGTACCTTCAGTGTTTTAAAAATTTGTGTTTCCTTTAGATTTAAGCTACTTTTGGGACCTATTCCAGTCTTATAACACACTGAAACAACCAGAAGAAGCATGTAAATTATGACTATTTCATTCCCCATATTTATGGTTTTTACTGAATAATGTAAGGTCTTTAAGGCCTACTAAGTCAAACTATAAAAGATATAAGAAAATAAAGTTTTATTGATCTATATTTTTTCCTCAGTTGCCCGCTTCCCTCGGGAAAAGAAAAATCAGGTTGTCACAAGATCAGTAAAATGTCAGTAAATGTGCTGTTTCAGCTTTCTTGAGCATCAGAACTCGTAAATTAATATAGCTCATAAATGTATTAAACGATCAGTATATGATTATGATATGAATAAAACATGACCTTTAAATGCAGCTTAATTGCACATAATCACACAAATTCCACTTCAACCAGAATCCTAAACCAGAAATCTGGTTCTGTTGTTCTGCTAATCTAGGCTAGTTAGCATAGAAAGTAGTTTTGTATTACAGTTTCCTCTGTTATGATGAGATTCAGCTGATGTCCAACAAAGTAAGTGAGAAGCATCAACGTGACTTTTAAAGGTAAATTAGCTACACGGTGAAACTTGCAGCTACGTCACCAGCTAACTATAACCAGATGGTGGTAAATGCAGTTTTTTAAAATTCAGAGTTTAAATGTTTAATTTAGGTCCTGATTTCCACATATTCTGACATCACTGATGTCTGATGGTAATTTTTCTTGATTTTAAAGTTGAAATTTAACTTCAAAGACTATAAATTAACATATGTGCCGCAGTCTTGTGACACTTAATGAAACCCCATTTGCTCATCTTAGAGGCTCATGTGTTGAATCAGTCAGTGCGTCACTGAAGCCAAACATTTGCAGACTCAAATGTTGGGAGTCCTCGTCTAAGATTTGGTGGCCCATCTACCTGACACCCAGAGTAAATGGTCACCCATCTCTCTTGCACACTTTCCTCTGTGTGTATCAGCAAAGACAGGTCTCTTCGAGGCTCCCTTCCCTCCTTTTTTAGTCTTCCACATGTCGTATTACTCCTTTGTGTCCCCTGTTTCTCCAAGTGACGTCTTCTGCTGTCTCCCACAGCAACACCATGGAGATGAGCTGGCCACTGTCATGTCCGGCGCCTCTGTTATGCTCGTCCCTTCACCCCTCTCTCGTAAATAACCTGCCCTCTTTTTTTTATCTTTATCTTTCCCCCATTTTGTGGACATTTTATCATTCCGAAATGGTCCCACACTGATTGACTGTAGCCAGGTTGCAAAGCCTAAAGAGATGCTTGTTAAAGCTTCAGCATGACATATATGTGGAGATGAGTTGCTTTCCCTCTGTTAAAGTGGGAGACAGCAGCAGACTTTGAGAGACAACTCTTAACTGATCTCACTTTGTCCACTGATTCTTACCATTGGGATGGATGATTGGCCTCATTCGGACAGGGCTGCCTCAGGGTGAGTCTAGACTTCACGAACATGCCCCCCCCCATACCCCTCCCCTCATACCCCTCCCAAGGTCATTAAGAGACAGAAATGTAACCCATCACCTTTTTCTCACTCCTTGATCTGCTTTGTTACTTCCCTGCAGTTGAGGGCTACCTGCCTCAGCAGTCTGAATGCAGATATCAGGCAGGAACATGACTGTTGTGCATGAGCAGGCTCACATTGCTCAGGCATCTCTGCCAACAAAGAGCACTGCACGCACTGCTGTGTATGAATGTGTGTGGAGCGTGTGCATGAATATTATGGGATGGCGGGCGGTGGTGTTGTCAGGCAGGGAAGAGGGGGTGGCAGAGTGGGCGGCGAGCTGTGTGCACATGGGGGGAGGGGGCAGAGGGAATGGACGACCCATGGATGTTATGGAAATATGGCGGTGAGTGTACGTGTGTGTGTGCGCGCGTGTGTTTGTGGTGGTGGGGGGGGGGGGGGGGGGGGGGGGGGTGTAGCAGCCTGCTTTAGGTGGAAGGACAGCTGTGCATATAGGATAGAGGGAGCAAGATGAAGCGTTGAAGATGACGGAGTTGCACTTGAGTGCATGTGCACCCGCACATGCATGTGTAAGGGGCATTCAAGCAAAAGTAACGGACAATGACCAGACGTAGGCCTTTGTTGCTATGCGATCTGCATGTCCTGTACAGTGGGGAATACTGCAAAGTGGCCTCTGGAGTGTAGAGAAAGGCCTCACATCTTTGCAGCTCCTGCCCATTGAGATCTGAATCTGATACCATAGGAATCTTTCTTTTATGAATCAAAGCAACATAGGTATCAATAATCAAGACCCACAAATAAAAAGCAGAATAAAATATTAATCACATGCCTATTTAGCAGTGAAAAAAATAATAGTGTTAATGTAAACTATGTAATTTTTTTCCCCCAATGAAATGAAACACATAGATCTCTGTGAAAAGTAAAGAAATACAGTAAGTTAATGGGCAGGAAATCCAATTAAAATGCAACGCATAATTACAGTTTAGTTATCCATGGCTGACAGTCTAAATAGTAACATGTCTTACGCCATAATGAGCAGAGCAGCAGCCTGCAAAGTGAGCTAGTCATAACAAGCCAAATGCTGCCAAAATTGACATAAAATGTCTGTCAGATATCAAACACACTGAGGTGAACGTTACACAAAACACCTGACTGAATGCTAAACTGCTGCAGCTAGTAGGCAAAGTATGTGTGTGTGTGCAAGCATATGTCTGTGTGTGACAGAGGAATATGATGCTTAAACTGTACGCAAATCTGATTCAGTGTGATTACAAAGTGCTCTTCAGAGTAGTAGAAATGAGCATTTCTCATGGTGAATGAGTAAATCTTTGGAGCCTGATTAGACGCCATGTGGCCTTCGATTGCTCCTTCTAAACTCGTTTATGAGTTCAAACTTTTGAAATTGGACTTAACATTAAAGGGATTTTACTTTGGGAAGCCACTCAGAAATGAAGAGACCCCACTGAGCAGCTAAAAGCATCCATTTTCATTTATTTCTTTTTTAAAATAATAAGTTTTAGAAATCAATCAGTGAAGCCACAACAGGGAGCTGAATTTAGCAGAGGAGTGTGCTGCTGAAGCAGACACATTTTAGTTAACTTATTTGGTACTTTTGCTTTTGTATTACATATTATCTTTGGTACCTGCAGCTTACATATATATAAAATCTATCATGATTATTGCTGCGATGGTTTTGGATGTGCTGAAGCTCTGGTTGTATTTACTCCAGACAGAACCTGAAGGCAGCAGCAGTGTGCATGTTTTTTATGAATCAATTTTAAGATAAGATAAGATAAGATAAGACAGGTCTTTATTAATCCCACAACGAGGAAATTTTTGCGTCATTTTAGCACTTCCTTTCGACTGACACTTTACTACACAAGATACAAGATATGTGTGTACTTGCAAATCTGTTGGCTCTTGAAAGTAGATGACCAGATGGGAGACAGATGTGTTGCAGTCGAGTTGTAATGAACCCACTAATAACAGTCTAATTTAGGAACTCTACGTATGATAATGGCCATCATTTGTGTACATAATCAAAACTGAATCACTGTGATTGAAATGCTGAGTGTGGCTCTCTTGTAGTGTATCAATAAATCTGTACTCGATCAAACTCACATGTGGCTCATCCTGAGCTCTTATTTGCACATTCAGGTAATTTTACTTCAGAATTACTGAACCAAGCAAACCCAGCTGGGAGAAGGTTTTAGTCAGGCCTGATTTCATTTTTCGATCCATCTGTTTTCTTCTTCTTACCCAATTCAGGGCTGTGGGATGAGGGTTGGGGTACACCAGATGGGTCAGTCTATCACAAGGCCAACACAAAGACAGAAAGAAAGAGAAGCACTGGAAACAATTTAGTCAACATGCATATTTTGTGGACTGTGGGACAGAGGAAACCCGCACAGGCCAGACAGGAAGAACATGCATGCGCCGCACAGAAGGCCCCAGCCAATCAATGGATTCAAGC